CTGTTGTTTTGCTCTTCTTTTTCTAGGATTTTGAGATGAAGCATGAGATCATTTATTTGTTGGTTTTTTCTTTTTTTAAGGAATGAACTCCAAGCAATGAATTTTCCTCTTAGAACTGCTTTCAATGTGTCCCACAGATTCCGATATGTTGTGTCTGTGTTTTCATTAATCTCTAAGAATTTTTTAATTTCCTCCTTGATGTCTTCTATAACCCATTGATCATTCAATAACCTATTGTTCATTCTCCAAGTGATGTATGCTTTTTCCTTCCTTCTTTTATCGTTGATTTTCAGTTTCATTCCATTATGATCAGATAGGATGCATGGTATTATCTCTACTCCTTTATATTGTCTAAGAGTTGCCCTGTGACATAATATATGATCTATTTTTGAGAAGGATCCATGTGCTGCTGAGAAAAAAGTGTAACTGCTTGATGTTGGGTGGTATATTCTATATATGTCAATTAAGTCTAGGTTATTAATTGTGTTATTGAGTTCTATAGTTTCCTTATTCAACTTTTGTTTGGAAGATCTGTCCAGTGGCGAGAGAGGTGTGTTGAAGTCTCCCATGATTATTGTATGGTGGTCTATTAGACTCTTGAACTTGAGAAGAGTTTGTTTGATGAACATAGCTGCACCATTGTTTGGGGCATATATATTTATGATTCTTATGTCTTGTTGGTGTATGGTTCCCTTAAGCAGTATGTAGTGTCCCTCTTTATCCCTTTTGATTAACTTTGGCTTAAAATCTATTTTATTTGATATGAGTATGGACACTCCTGCTTTTTTCTGAAGTCCATATGAGTGATATGATTTTTCCCAACCTTTCACCTTCAGCCTATGTATGTCTTTTCCTATCAAATGCGTCTCCTGTAGGCAGCATATTGTTGGGTCTTGTTTTGTGATCCATTCTACTAGCCTGTGTCTCTTAATTGGTGAGTTTAAGCCATTAACATTTAGGGTTATTATTGAGATATGGGTTGTTTTTCCAGCCATATTTGTTTATTTATGTTACTAAACATGGTTTGTTTTCCTCTTTGATTATTCCCCCCCCCTTTACTGTCCTACCTCCCACTGTTGGTTTTCATTGTTATTTTCCATTTCCTCTTCCTGTAATGCTTTGGCGAGGATGTTTTGAAGAGATGGTTTTCTAGCTGCGAATTCTTTAAACTTTTGTTTATCGTGGAAGGTTTTAATTTCATCTTCCATCCTGAAGCTTAATTTCGCTGGATACACAATTCTTGGTTGGAACCCATTTTCTTTCAGTGTTTGAAATATGTTATTCCAGGATCTTCTAGCTTTCAGAGTCTGTGTTGAAAGATCAGCTGTTATCCTGATTGGCTTGCCCCTAAATGTAATCTGCTTCCTTTCTCTTGTAGCTTTTAAAATTCTCTCCTTATTCTGTATGTTGGGCATCTTCATTATAATGTGTCTAGGTGTGGATCTCTTATGATTTTGCACATTCGGCGTCCTGTAGGCTTCTAGGATTTGGGATTCTGTCTCATTCTTCAAGTCTGGGAAGTTTTCTCGTATTATTTCATTGAATAGACTGCTCATTCCTTTGGTATGGAGCTCTGTACCTTCCTGTATCCCAATGACTCTTAAGTTTGGTCTCTTAATGTTATCCCATATTTCTTGGATGTTCTGCTCATGGTTTCTTAACAGTCTTGCTGAGCTGTCTATGTTCTTTTCAAGTTGAAATACTTTGTCTTCATTGTCTGATGTTCTATCTTCTAAGTGTTCTACTCTGCTGGTAGTACTCTCAATTGAGTTTTTAAGTTGGTTTATTGCTTCCTGCATTTCTAGGATTTCTGTTTGTTTTTTATAACCTCTATCTCCCTGTATAGTTGATCCTTTGCTTCCTGGATTTGTTTGTGTAATTCCTTGTCGAAGTGATCTTTCATTGTCTGATTTTGCTGTCTAATTTCTTCCTTGATACTCCAGATCATCTGAAGCATATATATCCTGAATTCTTTATCTGACATTCCATCTGCTGCAGCTGTTACCTCTTCTAAAGTTGAGTTGACCTGCATTGCTTGTAGTCCTTTCTTTCCTTGTCTTTTCATACTGCTTGCGTTTCTTTCTTCTTGGTGAAACTGTTGTGTTTTTGAAATTTTTCCCCCCCTATATATTTATATTGCTCTTGTATAGTTGAAAAGTCTCCCTTGCAGGTGCGGGCGGGGGCTGTGCTCTGCCCCTCCTCCAATTGGTGTGAGGTGTCTACCACGCCCGCGGACCCCTGGGCCTGATCCGCTGTTCTGTCGCAGGTCTGCCTACCTTGCAGGTGGGGGTGAAGGCTCTGCCCTGCCCCTCCTACCACGCCCGGGGACCGCTAGGCCTGATCTGCAGGTTGGTCACAGGTCTGCCCACCTTGTGGGCAAGGGTGTCAGTTCCGCTCCGCCCCCACTCCAATTGGGGTCACTTGACCACCACACAGGCGAGCCGCTGGGCCTGATCTGGGCGCGGGCTAAGGCTCTGCTCTGCCCCTACTCCAGTTGGGGTGAAGTGTGTACCACGCTGGCAGGCCGCTGGGCCTGATCCACCGGTCTGTCGCCGGTCTTCCTACCTTGCGGGCGCGGGCGGCGGCCCCTCTCCTCGCCTCTGGCTCAACGACAAAGCGAGAGAGACTCGGGTATCTGTGACTCACCCTCCCTACCAGGGGACCAACTGTTTCCGTCGCCGCTGGCACTGATGAAGTTTTCTCCTCGGCCGCTCTCCGATGACATCAGATCTCTGCCATGCTGGCATCCCCTGTTCTATGGCTGAATCCCATTTTCTTCTCTTCCAATAGGCGGAGCTGTGCCCTCTGAGCCGAGCTTCTGCCCTCTACGTGCTGACAGAAATCCCTGTACGGTGGCTCCTGGGAGTCTCTCAATCCTGTTAGTCCAGAGCCCTTTCACTTATCCGGCCCCTCCCCCTGTTCCTCCTCCCAGCCAGCCAGCCAGGTCCTGTTCACCAGAGGCGGTTCCCCAAGGATCTGATTACACTTGCAGCCCCACCGCGTGTCCTATATCCCGAACGATGAACACCCTCTCTGTCATTCAATTAAGCCCCAGTGCTGTGGTGGGGTGATCTGGGAACCAACAGTTTAATTTTTCCGGACCCCTTTGGTGGGCACGCCCCCAGAAACTGGCGGCTAAGATCTTGGGTGTCGCCGCTGGTGTTAAGGGGAGGTGGGGATCTGGAATCCCCTCTGCTTCCCTGCAGACACGCCCCCGGTGGTTTCCTGGCTGCTTGTATCTGGAGGGGGTGGGAGTCACACACCTGCTAATGTGGATTCCGCTGGGAAGGAATTCTGTCGGCGGAACTCTGGTGATGTCACCACTCTGCTATGGCAGGCCCCAGGCTCCCTGCCGGAGTGTCCGAAGGGAGGGGTGGGACTGGTCTGTCTCTGGTTGGTTTCAGCTCCCGGTTTGCTATTTCATGAAGGCTTGGCGAGAGACCTCTTCCTAGAGTCCCTGCACCGCTCCTGCGCCTTGGAGGCTATCCGCCCTGACGCGGGGGGCTGCGTGCAGGCAGCCGACAGTCGCCGAGTCGCGCGGGCAGCGGCTGGCGGGTCTGGACCTCTGCGCTGCGTGGCGGAGATTCACTCGTCTAGCGCAGACTGTCACCTCCAAAAATCCTTCCAATTCCCGGCCGGTCTCTCTTTAGTGGAATTTTGCTAGGAGTTTCTCAGCAGGTCAAATCTAAGCGTATCCATGCGTCTCTCTGACCCCTTTGTTGAGGAGGTACTGAAAGCGCTGCCTCCCCTCTCGCCGCCATGTTGTGTACCAGTCTTCAAGTTTTATATACATATATTTAATAGAAATACTTGTCAAAGTTAGTGTAAGGAAAGAAAATTACCAACCAGTATATAGTAAGATATGGATCTAAATTTTCCCTCAAGAAATCATCTGGGAAATTTTTTTCCCATTTATTTGAGATCAATAAGATCCTAAAATATGCAAGGCATTAGTCTAGCACTAAGGAAGGACTGTTATCAAGAAAAATAATGTACTGTTATCATGAAATTTACATCCTAGTGACAACAAACAAGCAAAGTGTCAGATAATGATGTTACTGAGAGTTTTATTATAAACTGTGACTAGGTGACAACTTGAGATTGGATGGTCAGTGAAGACTTTGTTAAGGAAATGATTTTTTAGTTGAGCTCAGACTGACAAGAAAAGATCTACCCACACTAAGATTATGACAGAATAACACTCCCAGCACAGACAGCCACATATGCAAAGTCCCCAGTACAGGCAGTAGTGTGGTAAGTATGAGTAAGTGAGAAAAAGCCACATGTCTGAAGAACAACTGGTGAAAGCAAAGATGATGAGATGTTGTGAGGTCAGAGAGAAGGGTGGAGGGAGATTCCATGGGGCCAGAGAATGAGTTCGGAATTTCTGTGGGTACAAACCTGCTAAATCTGAAAAATTTAAACTACAGCAGTGTTAACTATGCCTTTTAGCTAATCAAGAATTTGGAATAATATGCTGACTTTCAATGTACAAACAGGTTATTTCATCAAGTTCTTTTCTTTCATTTAGTTTTGTTTTTAACATTAGAAAAATAACCTGCATTAAGTACATTACAATTTCAAATTATAATCCATTAATAATGAAAATGTTAGTGTAGGTTGGGAACTGAAACAGTCATAGGATAGATTAAATGCCATGACTCACTATAATAGGTGGTCATCTATAATAAGAGATTGAGCTACATGGCTTTTAATGTTTCTTACAGCTATATTAAATTTTTAATTAACCTTATCATTACTTCAGGCAGTGGTCTCCATACTCTAAATTCCTATAAATCCCTCATATCCAATTATACTATAATTAATGGTTTACTTCCACCCCCACCACTCTATACTAAACTTTGAGAGGAAAGACTATCTTTCATAATTATGAATACTTGCTAAGAAATTTTAGCTTTCCATCATATAGTATATAGTTTATAAGGAATCTAGTTTGGAATCTGTCTGGTTCTTTAAAAAAAAAAAAAAAAAAACTATACCTATTTGTTTTGCAGCTTGTAATATATCTTTTAAGTCTTCATTTATACTTTGCATTTCACTCTTCTCCAGGTTTTCATTCAAAAATTTTACTATATTCTTCCATGTCGGTCCCAAATCTAAAACTTGTTCATGAAGTTTGGATCGCTTTAGCTGAAACAAATAGCATAATACAGAGAATGACTGGTTAAATTTTTTCTTAAAGCCATAGCTTAGTCCATATATTCTGCAATACAGAATACAACTTGGAACTATGCGTAAGATTTTGAAGTTGTATCTACTCAGATCCAAGTTACTCTCAGAATGAACTTTATTTAAATGTGACTTCACAGAATCTCACTTGTCTAAAAGATACATTTAATAAAAGATTATTTTTTATTTTATTTACAATGCATACCCATCATGAATTTCTATACAAAGTAAAAAGTTAAACCAACATCCAGAAGATAGTAACAACTGATAACATCCCACATACCTCTTTCCAATTTCCTTTGTGTGTGTGTGTGTGTTGTACCTTTTTTCTTTTTTTTTTTTTTAATTTTTATGTGATGCTGAGTATCAAACCCAGGGCCTCACACAAGCTAGGCTAGTGCTCTACCACTGAGCCACAACCCCAGCCCCCCCCTTCCCATTTTCTAACTGCTTATTTTTAATATCACTCGGACTATAATATATATAAATAAAAGCTTTATGTCCTACTTTATAACGAAAGGCATTTAAAGATAATTAGATTTCCATAGTTGATCTCAATATATTCAAGTCAATATTGCTCTCCTATAATACTATAATTCTTTGCTTGAGACTAACAATCTTTTCATTCACTAGAACTAACTACAGAAAGCAATACAAACTTTAAGTCAAATCACTGGCTTTAATCCACAGATAAAAGTCATGAAACACTCTAACCAAATGAAAAACTGGCGAGTCAGGTAGAAACTGTAATTTTACTCTTGACTGTATTCATGATATTCTTTATTCATCATTCCCTTCCTATTTTCTAATTTTAAATGGGGCTGGTCAATCTGGGTTTAGTGGGGAAAGAATGGGCAAGTATAGATATGAAATATATCAGCCATAAAAGGAATTGTTACAATAGGGTCATGGGTCCATAATGATTCATATTACTTTTATCTCTACTTTTGTATGTGTTGGATATCATCTCCACACACCCCTCAACCCCTATCCCTGTTCCACCCCACCCCACTCCAGTCCTGGGGATTAAATTCAGGAGAAGTGCTCTACCTCTGAGGTACATCACCAACACTTTTTAAATTTGATTTTAAAGGGTGTAGTAGAGTGACAAAAGCTGGCCTCAAACTTTCCATCCTCCTGCCACAGCTTCCCGAGTGGCTAGGATTATAGGTGTGTGTATCATGCCCAACCATGTTTGGCATTTTCTGAGATTAAAAAGTTTCAGCTTTTTATATATACCACTTTTGGGAAAAAAAAGGACTAAAAGCCAAAAGGAATAAATGAGATGATATGGGACAAGCAGATAGTCCTTATTCACTTTCAAATTTTAAAATCTTCTGTTCCATAATAAATTCTGAATTACCTGCTAAAGGCCTTGAGGAAGAAGAAAATAATTCAAGTGTAAACTATCAATATTAACTAATGGTACAGAATATACCCTATTTTTAATGCTGTGAAAAATATAAAATAGCTCCTATTGTAAAGGTTTACTGTTTTGTATCTGACACAATTCTGCATTGTTAGAGGAAAAACATCTAAAAACTGTTCTTCCTAGAATCAATCTTTAAGTGAGGCTATTAATAAAACTACATAAAGACTTCTAGCAATAAAATTCCAACCTACTAGGAAATATTATTATCCTAAAATAAAGTCAGGAATCAACACCTGAAGTAACTACTGTTTTTTAAAAGAACAGTGCAAGGCCAGATCCTTCACAAACTATTACATGGCTCATTTCTTCATATGTGCAGTTCATGTATAGCTTTAACACTATAAAGTTCACAATAGTATGACTAAACTTCCTAAACATTTATCCTTTTTCTAGTGAAAAGTCAGTCCATTATTTATGTGTTGAAATGTCCTTAAAGGATTCAACTGATTCTTAATACTACTTTAATTTTTTAATAAATTTCAACAACTTAAAGATAAATGGTTTTAAAACTATCCAAAATACATTTTGGTATGAACAGCTACAGGTTTTGCTATGCAAAATCACATTCAGGAAGAAACACAGTAATCTAAACATTAAAAATAAATAAATTCATCATAGTAATACAAACATCCTCACATCTACCAACTGATCAAAATCTATATTTTATGGGCTTAACTGTGTCCCTCAAAATTTATATGTTGAAGTCCTAACTCCTAGTACCTCAGGATTTGGCCGTATTTGAAGACAGGGCCTTTATAGGAGTAACTGAGTTAAAATAAAGCCATTTAAATGGACCCAATCCCACTGACTGATAAACATACAAGAAGATGAAATCTGAACACTTAAGGAGACACCACTGACATGCTGATACAAGGAGAGAAGACTCAGAGGAAATCAAACCTGCCAATACACCTTTCTTTCGACTTCTAGCTTCAGATTGGTGAGACAATAATTTTTTGTTGTTTAGCTTTCCAATCAATGGTATTTTGTGAAAACTAATACACCACATGTCAAAGGCATGTCTAAGAATCTCTTCTATATATTTTATAACTATATGCACAGTTTTTTTTCTGTAAGTCGTGACATAATATACTTTTATTTTTGTTTAATATTAATTAAATTTGTAAGTACATGTAATTTTTTGATACTTTTTTAAACTTATATAAGTTAGTTTACTCATCAGGAGAAATTCTTTGTCAAACCATATACCCTAATTTGTAGTACAGAAAATACACTCATTGAACCTATATAGGACAGAGACTGAAGAAGTTCCTTTCATAAGACAAAAGTGACATTTCAAAATGATAACCATTTTGCCCTGGTGGAATCTATATTTACAGCAAAGGTAAAATTAATATTTATTATATAAAATGACTCATGAGGAAACTTGTCCACATATTAGTTATTATGAAAAGTAGTAGTTGATATTTACTAGAAAAGCTAAAGAGTCTGTAGTCAATGTAAACTTTTGTTTCTTATTTTGTTTCATATTTATTTTTGAAATTTTAATCATAAAGTGACTTTTTAAATAACAAGTGTTTTCTTAAGCTTTAAATACCTCTCATAAGAGGTTTAAGCCCAATTATAAGTATAAGCCAATTATAAGACCAACTACTGAGCTCAAGAGATTAATATCTATATTTCTCATATTAAGGTACAGACACTGTTTCTGTTTATTTGATAAAAATTTTACCAGAGACCTAAAAACTTACTCAGATAATTCAGAAGTAAATTACTGGATTATATCACAAAATAATTTGAGCCAGGGACCTTAGCAACAGAAAAATTATAGTTCTGATTATTCCTCTTGACAGTACAGTGATGGGTGCTTAATATTAAGTTGTCCCATAGGTACATCAGTACACCTACTCTCCTTCTTGGTCTCATGCCAAACAAGATAAACCTTCCATTTTAGCACAAAAAACAAAAAAGCAATGTCAAATATATATACATACTCTATAAGAGTTCTCATTTAAAAAACTTACCTTTAAGTCAGCCACTTCTTCACTATAATTATCTTGCTTGGTAACATTTGAAAAGGAGCGCAAGGCTCCTGTGAGGCGAGGCAAAGCCATCTATTTCTCAATCAGTGATCCCTGCAATGAGAAACCTGAAACTGAAACAAAATAAGATGATATTTATCTGTTCAGAAATGGGAGGTATAATCGACTCAAAAAACTGACCAATACAAGGCAAGGGGGAGAAAAAACAGTTAAAAATTCTCCTGATACATTTCCAACTCTTGAAGGTTTTTTTGTTTCATTTTGTTTTGTTTTAAATAACACATTTACTATGGTTGCAGAAAAGAAAAAGGAACAAATAGATATTTGTTTCAGGATATTACTATACTATTACTTCAAAATGACTTCTACACAGTATTTTAATATAAGCCTCAAATATTGTTTTACTACTACCAATAATATAAAGACATGAAGAAAACTGACAATATTTTCCCCAATCTTATTTTACATGCACTGATTTCAAATTACACAACTTTCCAGTGGTTTTCTCTGTTTGCAATGCTCTTCCCACTGATGTTCATATATTTGGCTTCTTAACATGGAACATTTTTGGTACTCAATAATTTTTTTTTTCAATTAAAAAAAGGAAGAAAAATGGAGAAAATAGGAACAGGAGACTGGAGTAAAAAAAAAAAAAAAAAAAAAGAATCAAAGCAGCTGGTGATGGTAAACTCCCAGGGAAAAAGAGTCTGATAACTATGTCTAGTCTCTGTTAGCATGCTTGCAATTAAACAACCAATGTCCAGGCAAATAGATTTAATAATATTTGCATTTGGAGAATCCTTATCTATCTCTTTTTAAGATTGTCATGGCTTAAGATTGCTTATTAGAACAAAACTACTATTTACAGTTATAAAATCCCCAGAGAATGTCAAGTAAGTTTTCTAAGTCTTAAAACAATGCTCAACTAGATTCCCTCTCCACACCACTCCCCACAGGACATTTGGCAATATCTGGAGACATTTTGAGTTATCACAATTAGAAAGGAAGTGAAAGTGGTCTATGACTTCTGATGGGTAGAGGTCAGTGAAGCTGCTGTACATTCTATAAAACACAGGATAGCCTCTCCACAACAAACAATTATCTGGCCAAAACTGTCCAATATAAGAAGGAAAAAAAACAGATGGATGGGGGCAAGGAACATACAAGATATTTTAGACCACTCCCAGCTTCTGCTGTTCCTCTTAACTAAATCTCTATAAAGCTTAATACCTAGAAAATCTGACTCATATATTAAAATAATTAGATATTACATAACTGAGATTAAAAAAAATAAAAGAAGGATTTTTAAAATACTGAATAAGAACTTGCAGGGTTTGAAAATATATTTTATAAATAAAAATATATAATTGTTAAATTTGAAAACAATCAACAGATAGACTACAGAACTGATTAATCACAGCTAAAAGGAAAAGTATGACCTGAAAGACAGCATTAAAGAAATAATCCAGCACACGTCACAGACAAAGAAGCTCAGTTGTACAGTGTTTGCCTAGCATGCACAATACCCTGAGGTCAATCCCCAGCACTGCCAATAATAAAGAAAGAAAAGAAATAAAAAGTATATTTGGGCTCAGAGTGACCAAATTAGTTTCCTGACCCCTGATATAGGTCATTCTCTGAGCAAAATATAGTAAGATTAAAAATCAGAAACAAAATGATAAGATCTACAAACATACATAATTACACTGCAAATCAGTAAGGAACAGGTATGTGAACATACTTTTAAAAAACCAGTTGGAGTCTACATCACACTGGAGAATTGCAGTCCAAAAAATTTGCAAATAAACTCCCTAGGGTAGCCAACTTTAGATTCCAACTGCCCATTGGGAATGAATTTAGGAGAGCATTTGTGGAAATTAAGATGATTCAGAAAGTTATAAATGAATTTTTCTAACAGTGAGCAACATATTTCCTGAAGCATGTAGAGGAAAAATATGACATAGGGAATTAGTGGACAGCATAGGGCAGAAATTTTCAATTTTTATTATTTATTAAAGTCACCTAGAGGGCTTTCTAAAACAAATTGCTGAGCCCTACCACCTTAATCTTTACCCCAATTTTCTGATATGGAAGATCACACAGCACTGAATTAGGGCATAAAAGTTTGCATTTCTAACAAGTTCACAGATGAAGCAAAAACTCCACTGTTTTAGAGATGGTGTCCTTCATCCTTAAATCACCAGTTTTGCCCCAAGTCAGTAGTGACAAAGAAACCCATCTAGTAAGAAATTGGGAGTCAGAATTTATGTGCAGTGGGGCTGGAGTTGTAGCTCAGTCGTAGATCACTTGCCTGGCAAGTGTGAGGCACTGGGTTTGATCCTAGCACCACATAAAAACAAATAAAAGGCAATGAGTCCATATACAACTAAAAAAAAATTTTTTTTTAATTCATGTGCAGTATACATCCTACCAGCCTTTATCAATGGGATTCTGTGAGATGATTAAATTCTACTGAATGATTGAATGTATCTTGAATGACTTTTTCTATTAATCCTCTCAAGGACTGTACAAAGCTCGTATCATCTACAGAAAACTAAGGAGCTGAGAGCATAGTGGCACACACCTGTAATCCCAGCAACTCAAAAAGTTGTGGTAGAAAGATCACAAGATTGAGGCTAACCTGGGCAACTTGGCAAGGCCCTGTTTCAAAAAAAATTTTAACAAAAATTTAAAAAAGGGGATGTAACTCAGAGGTAAAGCACTCCTAAACCCAGTTAATCCCCAGAATACACACACACACACACACACACACACACACACAAATAAGTAAGGCATACAATAAATGCTTTAGGGGAGTGGGGCTGGGGCTCAGTGGTAGAGTGCTCGCCTAGCATGTGTGAGGCACTGGGTTCGGTTCTGGGCACCACATATAAATAAATAAATAAATAAAATGAAGGCCCATCAACTAAAAAAATATTTTAAAAAATAAAAATAAATGTTTTAGAACACTAGAGTTTAAATTTTCTACCCACACTGAAGGGCTGCGAAGATGCATTCTAAAGTCTTCAAAGACCCTGACACTAAACTGAAAATATTCTGCCTCAATAGTGGTGCAAGTAGCCATTTGTTTATAAGACCATGCCTGAGGTAGAATATTCCATATATCATGTCTCTTTTCTGATGTTACATTTTGAAAGCATTGATTTATGTGGTAAAGGCACAAATTCACTTTAGATCCCACCTCACTCTTAAGAAAAAAGCAAGTGCTCTTGAACAGCTTCTGTTAAGATTTGGATATAAGGTGCCCCCAAAAGCTCCTATGTTAATGCAGGAACTTTCAGAAGTAAAGTGTTTGGACTGTGAGAGCTATAACCTAATCAGTCCATCCTACTTTGCATGGACTGACTGGATGATAACTATGGGGTACAGATGGAGGAGATGGGTCACTGAGGATATGTCCTGGAAGAACTGTTCTTCCCGACAGGCCCCTTCTTGGGCTTTCTCTCTCTGCTTCCTGGCCACCACGGGGTGAGTTGCTTTCCTCCATCATGTCCATCAATCATGATGGTCTGCCTCACGTTGGGCCCAGAACAATGGACTCCACCATCAATAAACAAAAATTTCTGAAACCATGATCCCCAAATACACTTTCCCCCATAAGCTGTTCTTGCATATTTTGATCACAATGTTGCAAAGCTAACTAAAACAGTTCCCATTTAAGTTAGGAAACACATTGGAAAAGAGAGAATAAAGGAAGCATAGGAAAGACAATTACATACCTACATATGTACTTTTCATGTAATACAAAATATATAATGATTTCTTAAAAACAAAAAAATATGTATAAGGTTCTTATTCTCTTAACTTACTCAACTAACTACATACAAATCAAAGTTCCCACCCAAAGATTGGGGCAAGTAGAGAAGCCTTGACAAGCAAATAACCACAAATCAGTATTTATACTATAGAAGATCCCCTACAGTTATATTGATCTTACTTTTCACAAAGCATAAGAAAATCATTTTCTTTACATGTCTTTAGGAAAACAAGTGGCTAGAATATTTCAGCTTCTTATGAGGACAACAAGAGTCTGAATAAACACCTCACAAAGATCAAATAAGTACACAAATCACTCTCAAGAAAATCTGGAACAGACCCACTACACATGTGTTTATATTAACTCTCTCCCCATTGGTCCCAGTGGAAAATGACCTATAATAGATTATGTCTAAAAAACATAATTCTCATTCCAAAGGTTCAAGGAACATAGGCTAAAAAATTTATTTGACTCAAAAACTCTGAATACATCTTCTCAAGAGATACATTCTTAATACCAAACCAAAACTCTAGTGATGCTCAGCCTTAGATGTTGAGAAGGAAAGGGTTTTCCTGACTTTACAGTCCTCCGTGACACAATTATATAGAGCACCATTCCTTTCCTGAAGCATTTAAAAATTTGGTTCATTTTTACTCTCAATCAGTGTTACTCCAAATTTAAAGATATGATGACCTTAGTTTTTTGTTATAAATAGCTCTAATCCCAATACCATGTAAGAGGTTGACATATACATCGTGATAATGAAAGAAATGTCTACCTCTGCCTCTCAAATATAGAAAACTGGAAGCCAAATTTTCATAAATAGGACTCAAATGAAGTTGCACAGTAAACAAGAAACAGAAAAACAGAGAACTAACTCACAGGGTATTACAAATTAGAATCCTCTCCTCCCCTCTTGGCCTCCTGGTACCACCCCCTGAGCTGCTTTCCTCCTCCATACCCTTCCTTGGTGACCTTCTGACTCACCTCTAGCCTAGAACAATGGAGTTAGCTGTCAGTGGACTAAGACCTCTGAAACTATGAGCCCCAATTTAACTTTTCCTCCTCTAAAATTGTTTTTGTCAGGTTTTTTTTTTTTTTGGTCACAGCAGATTAAAACATACTTGATCTTCCTGAAAGGATGTATTGTATAACCTAAAATTACATGACATTCTAGTAGATTTGATATTTATGATGTAATTTATAATAAACTAATCATAGAAACAGGGTAATCTCTTCCGTTATATCAATCAGAAATGTGTCTTGACAAATACAATCCATAGAAACATTTTCTGTGTGCCTCATTCTGAGCTGACATGCCATTTCCCTATCATA